GTGTGTGTGCATGTGTGTGCATGTGTGTGCGTGTGTGTGTGTGCATGTGTGTGTGTGTTGTGTGTGTGCATGTGTGTGTGTGTGTGTCTGTGTGTGTGTGTGTCTGTGTGTGTGTGTGTGTGTGTGTGTGTGTGTGTGTGTGAGAAAGACAGGAAGGAAAACAGACAGAAAGATACAGTGAGTGTATGAGCATGCATTTGTGCATGTGTAACTTATAAGTATGACAGACAGAAAGGGAGGGGAGGAGACATTTAAAAAAAGAGATACACAGATAGAAAGAGAGAGAGGAGGGGGAGAGAGAGACAGACAGAGAGACAGACAGATAGACACACACAAACAGAGACGCTTGTAAATATTTCCCGAGTCCCATGTGTTTTCAGGTGTATGGGTTGTTCCGTGCGAAACTGCCTGTCCTGGTAATCTGTGACATCGATATGATCAGGGACATCTGTGTTAAGCACTTCAACAATTTCGTCAATAGACAAACCTATGACATAGAACCCCCACTGGGTGGTTCACTCATGGAACTTAAAGGTATGGAAAATGAATAAATAGCCAAAAATGTTGTTTATCAAGGAAATTATACATGTATTGGGCTAAAGGCAGCATCATGAAATACATGTACTTGTTTTCAGAGAACCCCGCTGAGTGATAAATTAACAGCGAAAGAAACTACCATACAATCTATTGAAGAATTTATGTTGGGGTGACATTTGTGCAATTATTCAAAAGTTGTCTCCTAAACATGTTTTCTGCCCTATTGCGGCACAGACTAACTTACAACTAACACACACGCAAGCACACATCTACCCAGACACACACATATAAACACATAGATCACAAACATAGATCTATAAACACATCGTGTGCGGTTTGCAAAACTTATGCTTACAACATACAAAAACGTGCACCTTCAATAGTGTAGGCCCTATATTTTGTTCATATAAGCAGAAAGGCGTTCTCATGCTTGTTCATTCTGAAGCAATAAATATGGTACAATATAAGTTATGTCCTATTCAACACTTCAGTCTATTTTTTTTTTTAAACATGATACTCAGATCTAATTCCCACCTCCAAAAGGAATGAAGCAAGTGGATAGACTGCCAAGAAAATATCTAATATAACAAAGTCCTGGTAAACAATGCTAAGAATTCTTAAACTTTCAGCATGATGCCAACTGAGCTTGAAGAGGGCTCAAGCCAATAGAATGAATGTTATTTTAATTGTCCAATTGTCCTCCCAGCTCTTGTGTAATTGAAACAGGACTCAAACACTTAGATCTGTCTATAAATAAACTCATTATAAATAATGGCATCTAAAAATGTCTGATGACAGTGTTGGTAAAAACGTGTATGTAGCAAGAAAACACAAATAAACTACATTTAGTATATTTAAGAAAATAACCACAATTTAATCTTGAATTTCCCAGATGATCACTGGAAAACTGTCAGAGCCACAGTAAGCCCCAGCTTTAGCACGACCAAACTTCGCAAGATGTACCCACACATTGTACGCAATACCCAACTCTTGCTGGAGCATCTTAAGGAGAAGCATGAAAGAAATGAACCAGTGGAACTGAGAGATCTGTTGTCAGCTTATACAATGGATATGATTGCCAGTACAGGTTTTGGTGTCGAGATTAACTCACTCAAGGAAGGAGAGGATGAATTTACCAAGGCTGGAAAAGGTATTAAGGAGGGCAAAGGGCGTTTCTTTTTTTTGGCCATGTTTCTAAACTTCTTGAGACCAGTTTTTAAATTCCTAGGTATAACTTTGATGCCAAAAGATGCCACAGAATTCTTTACTCGTTTTATTGACAAGGCTTTGGAGAGCAGGAAACATGAAAAAGATGGAGCTTCTGGACGTAGCGACTTCATACAAATAATGTTGGATGCAGAGCACGAAGACCATACTGAACATGGAAATCGGGCCGTAAATGAGGAACAGGAAAATGGGCACAAGACAGAAACAAAAAAAGTTTTGAGCTATTCAGATATTCAGGTGAGAGAATTAAATACTGTTTCTCTTTCTATTTATATATGTGTTCATGTAGCCAGTAAAAGAAAGGGTTGTTATGTCGAAATTTGTAGTGTCTCATAGTTTTGAAGAAGCAATGTGCTTCTGCCATATTTTTAACTTGAATGTTGTTTAGAACAATCCTGGGCAAAGAAGTAGAAGAAATTTATGAGCTGCTGGATGCGATTTTAGTTTAAGGGGTAGCGAGGGGCAAAATACGAAAAGTGGAATTCACTGTATCATTTTTCGATGGGATTTTTCGGCAAAAGAAAGCTTTCTTTTCTTTTTAATTATGCACTTGTGTGACAAGTACGAGTACACTGCAATGGCTAAGGTTAGTTTCAATAAAAATGAGCCCAATCCTGAAAAATAGAAACATCTCAATGAACACCAAAATGAAAGTCCTGAAATGCTATGTTTGGTCAACCCTTCTATATGGCTGTGAATGCTGGACAATCACTAAAGACAGTGAAAATAAAATAGAGGCAACATAAATGTGGTTTCTTAGGAGACTGCTAAGAGTATCGTGGAAGGAAAAGAAGTCAAATGAGGAAGTGCTTGATGAAGCCCACGTGGGACGCTCAATGTTAAAAACAATCAGGAAACGACAAATGCAGTTTTTGGGACACCTGAATAGACATAAGGGTCTAGAACATCTAACTCTCACTGGCAAAATTGAGGGCAAGCGAGGCAGGGGTAGGCCCAGAACAACATACTTAGGGAACCTAAACAAATGGGTAACGGAAAGATCAGGGAAATGTAGCTTTTTAAGAGCATCCGAGCAAAGGAATGAATGGAAAACTATGATCGCCGATGTCTGTCGCAGATTTGGCACTGGATGATGATGATGATGACGAGTACACTCTGTGTAACGTCATTCTCTTCCAGATTATGCATTTCCTTATCTTAATAGGACTGTGGGGGGAAACAAATTCAGATTTATTATGGGATAGAACACTATATTATGCATTCTATTGTTATTGTAGTATGCTTGTTACAGAGAATTATTTTTCACTTTTCATGACCTGTCTCCAGATGCAAAAGAGGACCTAACATCAATTAAACTGCTGGTACTTATTTGTTTGATTTTACTTGACTGTTATGCCTTACCCCCACATCAATTAACTCTTAAAACTTGCTATACTATAATTTGCTGCATTTTCCAGGGCCAGGCCTTTATCTTCCTCCTAGCTGGTTATGATACCGTTGCTACTGTGCTGTCCTTCACCATGTTCCTGATCTGCATGAACCCTGACTGTCTAAAAAAAGCACAGAAGGAAGTGGACAAAGTGCTTGAAGGGAAATTTCCAGATTATGACTCTGTCCAATCTCTGCCCTACATCGAAATGTGCATGAATGAAGCTATGAGAATGTACCCACCAGGATACATTTTGGATAGGATCTGCGATAAGGACATTGAAATTCAAGGAATAAAGATTCCAGCGGGAATGAATGTCTCGGTCCCTGTGGTAAGTAAAGAGACAGAAATGTAATGAAGACCACTTACCTAAATCCAGACATAAAATTATGAAAATTGTCCATGTTTTGGTTCATATTAGAATAATATATGAACCTATCTGTCAAGGAAAAACTTTAAAACAGTAATCTGATTCAACAGAATCCTCACATTTTCATGTGAAATATATGGGTGAATGCTTTTGGGATTGTGTGAATTGAAAACATGTTTGTTTTCGACTGATCATTATCTAATAACCTTGTAAGTGCCATAAAAATGCCAGTGTCACATCACTGTCATCATCATCATCATCATCATCATCACCATCATCATCACCATCATCATCATCGTCGTGTTTTAAAGTAGAAAAAGAATACAGTGGAGTCCACTTACAACGAGTCCTGAAACAACGAGAGGTCTGTTATAAAGACACTATTCTAAAACCCCATTTTCCCCTTCTTTATCTTTGTAAATAAAATACTGCTATAGCACAATCAGACAAACACGCGATGGAGAGGTCACAATGCTGTGATGGATGGAGTGAACGTGTATGTAACGTGCGCAAGCAGACGTAACACACCACGGGGTGAGGTGGGGTGGGGGACAACACAGCGGGCGAGTTAACACAGAGCGCATTCTTTCTTATCGCTAATGCCGTGCTGTCAACATCGGTAGCGCCAGAGAAAGAAACCCGATTCGATTTTTGATCAAGTAAGACCAAGAGATCATGTTGAACAGTGTCAAGATCAAACAAAAAGAAATAAACAGAACAACAAACTCATAGATTACGCCTACTTTATTATTTCCATTGAATTTATTACTGGATTTCTTATAACGAGAATCCTGCTATAACGGACATTTCGCACCGGTCCCCTCCCTCTCCTTATAACAGGATTGCACTGTATATACTTGAGACTTGGATAAGGTTGGTGTCATCATTATCATCATCATCATCATCATCATCATCATCATCATCATCATCATCATCATCATCATCATCATCTTCTTCTTCTTCTTCTTCTTCAGCGGCAGCAGCAGTACCAGTAACAGTTGGATCAGCATAATCTAACTCTTACCCTCTCTACTGTTTTGTCTAGTGTGCTATTCATCATGACGCTGACCTGTGGCCGGAGCCTGAGAAGTTTGACCCCGAACGATTCACTCCAGAGAACAAAGCTGGACGTCATCCATACGCCTTCTTGCCCTTTGGACAGGTTGGTTAGAAGAGAAATTATTTTCCCTTCCTTTCATCAAATACGTTAAGGGTTAAACAATATGTGAGGCAGCGGGGTGGAATCAGGCTCTCGTCAAAATAATCAAAGTGAAGAAACTTACATTTTTCTACAGGTTTGTGAATTTTTATCAAATTTTTGTTTTTTGGTTCAACACCTTTCATGCCCATTAAAGAACTCATTTCTGAGTGGATTTTTCTGAAAAACGTTGATTAAAGGTACAATAAATGTAAATTTTCCGTTGCCACGGACTTTTAAGCTAAGGAAATAACTAATCTTTGGCGGCCATTTTCTCACTAATTTTACCTCTGAAAACGGGTGACCCACACCTCCTTCATTCGCAAATATCTCGACCAGTATTCAAGATAAATGGATTTTTTTTCATCCAAATGAAGACAAGTGAACAAGCTTTAAGACGATACCAATAACTCTACATGCCCAAAAATTGACGAGAGCCTGATTCCACCACGCTACCTCACATATGTGATAAAGATTATGTAATGCATGTAAAAAGGGAAGAAATTGTTGGTAAAAGTGAAGTCTGTAGCATCAATTTCGAACTGTTTGACCTATTTGGGGTCATTGTAGAGGTCACAGTGGGGTTACAGAGATGTTTCAGAAAACTAGACTGTGATTGTGATAGCACAAAGATAAATGGGTTAATCATCATCATCATCATCATCATCATCATCATCATCATCATTATCATCATCATCATTATCATCATCATCATCATCATCATCATCATCATCATCATCATCATCATCATCATCATCATCATCATCATCATCATCATCATCATCATGTCTTTCTCACTCCATGCCTAAGCCTAAGACACCAACAAGAGTTCCTCGTGTACTACTGTCCTGGGCTATAATAGCCTCCACCTCTGTCCAGCTGTATCCCATCTCCTTCAGGTCTGAATCTAAGTCCCTCATCCCTAATACATTTAGGTCTTCCTTTCTATTTTTCTGTCCTTGTGGGTTCCATATTAAGGCTGGGTGGGTAATGCTTGTTTTCAGTTTTCTCAGGATGTGTCCAAACAACTTCTATTTTCTCCTTCTAGTTTCTATCTCTATTTTCTGTTGATCTGTTTGCTCCAATTGTTGTTCATTTCTTATGGTATCAGTCCAATTAATTATTTTTTTTTAATTTACGCAGCCTGCAGCTTTTTAGAAGTTTGTTATGTACTTTATGTACTCGTAAGTATGTTTCCAAATTTATGATCTAATCTATATAAAGTGTAACACTTTTGATGCTGACAGTGGGTTTCTTTGATCTACTTTTTCTCAGGGTCCGCGGAACTGCATTGGAATGCGACTCGCTTTGTTGGAAGTAAAGGTTGCCTTGGCTGCCATGTTGCAGACTTTAACTCCTGTACCTTGTGAGAAAACAGTTTATCCCTTTACCAAGGACAGGTTTCAGATCAAAGCTGTTGAAGGCCTATGGATCAAGTTCGAATCCCGAAAATAATTGGTTGGGCTGGTATCATAAACTTATTTTTACTTGAAAAATAATCTGGTCTCTTCTTTGTGCCAGAAATTGTTGTACAGAAAAGATATGTCTTACCTTGTGCCGATTCTCATTTATCACTAAATCATCGCTCTTGTTTGTCTTTTGTTGCCTTCACTTTCACTAGGTATTGTCAGATTTGAAATGGTTTTGAATGTATGCCATTTAGAAGTAAGAGAAAGACCTGCTTCATGCTATTTGGCAAGTTTCAGAGATGTTGAAAGATGAAAGCAATGCGCAACCCCCACAATTGACTAAACATCCCCTGCCTAGCACAAAGAAACTTAATGTCTCCGTTAAAAGAGAAATAAAGATAACTGTATTGGGCTATCCTAAGCATATCAATCGGCCTAAGCAGGGCCCTCACAACAGCAAGTTTAATATTAAAATT